AAGAATCCTGTGTTTTCAGTGCTAATTCTGAAGACCGCAGTGATGGAACCAGAGCTTTACTTCATCCTCAAGGAATGAGAACCTCTTAAAAGACAAACAGAGGGGAAGAAACAATATCAGTGCATTAAATGCAGGCAATTGTATGAATTTGAGATTTGTACCATAGTACACACTTGTAGAAAATTCAGCCTTTACTTAATTAAATCGATTTCCCACAAAATTGAAAATGTTTATACTAAGCAAATATTTATCCACTAACTGGAAATTACGGATTAGAACATATGCAGCACTTTACAGATACATCCAAAACTAAACATACATCTACAGTATTACCCATTAGTATTACTCACTCCAGTAGCATACATAGTTAATAAAGACAGGCATAAGAAAAACTGCAAATGAGGTGTTTTGATTTTGTTCATTTTTACAATAATATGACCTAAGTCATTCTCGATATATTTTATAATATATTTGAGATATTTATTTCTACAAGGCACTACTGTTCTATAAATCCTTAATAATATGTGTATTATTGGGGTGCAAAAAAAATTTCACTCTGACTCTTGTTCAATAAAAATCAAAGGTCATGCATGAAATCACATTTACCTTGCAAGCTAAATTTGTTCCAAAAGTGTACATACACAAATTTCCCCTTAAATTAAGCTTTTCCTCCCCAAGAAGGGAACAATATTTACTTAATATTTACTCACAGGAATAATATTTACTTACAGATTTGGAATTGAACTATAAACTAATGGCTGCCTTTTAATTGACTTGAAAGGACTTTAAATGGGCACTAATAACATCTCTACTACCCTTAAAAACTAAAAGTACGCAGCTTGCCTTTTGAGTTGGAAGCACATGCCTGAAAGTTAGCAGAAACTCACAGAAAAGGTAAAAAGTAAACCAATAGCACAACAAAGAAAAATATATAGTGTATGTTTGTGTACACAGACAAACACATATATATTAAATGCATATATTTGTATATGTGAACAAACAGTAAATGAGGTAAAAGAATTTCAGACTTCTGAGAAAATAGAGCAGCTGCTGTATTTTTATAATTGTCTGAGTCAGTTCTCTTAAAAAAATTAACTGGGCAACTACAAAGCTCTGTGACATTGTGTTCCTTGCTGAGTCAAAGACATGGCTCACATGTGCAGATTTGCCAAAACCTGCCTTCCTCAGCCAGCAGATGTATTTCAAGCTGGAATTCCTCCTTAACACATTCAACCTCAGCTCTCATCATTTATGACAGCAGTGCACTTGATTTTTTGAAGAATTATTGGCTTGTACACTTTCAAGCAGCATAAATGTCCTTATTGCCAATGAAAAAAAAATCTTTATCTTTGCACACACAATGGTCATTCCCCATCCTATTCAGTGTCCACACCCTGGAGCTTCGTTTGGAGACAATAAGACAGCCTAACATCACTCTAACAATACTATGTAACAGCCCTTCCAGGGATAAGCTTACAAAAGGTTTAGCTGGGTACAGCGCTCTCCGTTCTTGCTGTTTACAACACAGGCTTTATTTGCCATGTCAATATATATATTTATAACATGTTCTTTTGAAACTGTCATTGATCAGTGCCAATGTTGATAAATTTGAAATATCCTCCACAAAAGTACTGCATACTTTTCAAATATATATATATATATCTTTAAACATGACAAAGTGTCAAAACATGTTGCAGACATTATCATGGCATAAAGACAAGCTTTCTGTGAAGCTCATGACCATCACTATACTAGAAAGTTTACTTCAAACCTTTGCACTAGCTGTGTCTGTATGAAATTTATTCAACCAACACAACTTAAGAGCTCTTCCCAAAAAATTATTCTCATCCCATTGATGGTAGCAGACCACCTGCCTCTGCTAATTAGCAGTACCCAGCTCAGTTGCAGCACTACGAGAAGAAAATGGATTGGCTCTTCTGCTAGTCCATTTTGTACAAGACCAGAAACTCTGAATCTGTACCTTCCTCCTTCACAACAGCTTTAAAATTTACAACACTGTAAGGTATCTCAGATGAATACTGCTAACCTGTGGATACAAATCTTCATTTTTTTCATAAATCTTCCTAAAAAAATAAATATAATAATAAAAAAGTGAAACACACCCATTATGGATGGATCTGTGATTTCAGCACTATTTCATATACAATTATATTTTAAAATTATACACATAGATAAAAACAGGTATTATTAGTCACTTATTAGTCACCTTTAAAACAGGCAGCATATTCATTATGTTAATGTCCCTAGAGTGTGTAAAGCAACCTTTTGCATTTTAAGTGGAGGCTCTTGGTAAAAGGTGGCACTTAATAAGAAATGGCAATTATTGAGGCATGTTACTCTCCAGAAGACTGCAATATGAATTTCAATTTCTTCCTGGCCATGTATCAGATGGGGCCAATGCAAACTGTTCAGTTTAGAAAGAATAATAAGTACAGTAACAGTGAAAACCAAAATAAGAGATGATGCTAACCTTCTCTAAGTTTCAGCTAAGGCCCAGCACTTTTGGATTAAAGGCTTATTTTAATGAAAAGCCTTAATTAAGTATACATGTGCATAGGATCACCTTAATGAGGTATGACAGAAATGGAAAACAAGGAAAAAAAAAAAAAAAAAAGAAAGAAAGAAAGAAAAAAAAATAGCTTATTAGCAACTTTAAGAAACAGTCAAAGGTTCCTGAAGATAAAAAAAAATGCAGCACTGAAAAGATACAAGAATGCTGGATCAAGTTCAAGGTTCTAAACTAAACAGTTTAAACTAAATCAAAATATGTATAAGGCAGAGGCATTTTCAGTATGTTTGTATTAAAATTGATACATACTAATGATTTTTCTATAAATCAATGCAGTTATTTTTGCAGATATCACAGCATTTACACTTTCACCTAAATTTTAGACAGCACAAATACAAGTTTTCTACTTTATTTGCTAATTAAAATTTATTACTAATCAATCTTTAGAAGTATATATTTTAAAATCTCCCTATATGGTATTACTGAGTTGGGTTTTGTGTCAGGCTAACTTGTGAGTTCACTTTAAAAACTGTTATTTTATCTTTTTGTCCTTAGAAGCAATCAGTGATTTAATGTCATTATAAAGATAGCCACTTCAGTTGTTTTTTACATCTTCCCCTACAGTACACAGAGGTATTCTCATTTGCAGATTTGAATTTAAAGTAATTACTTATAATTACAGAGAAGAAATGCATCCAGTGGATTAATCACTCCATTTACATGCTGCTCGAAGGATTACTCTCAGGACAGCCTCACTGCTTGGAAAATGTCACTTCCACAAGAAAATAAATTTCTCAAGTCAGCAGCAGTTGAAAAGGAGTTTGAAAAGTATTTAAACCTAAAAGATTAATGAAACAGTGCACCTGGACTTAAGGCAGCATCTGTACCTGTCCTCCACTTCGGAGATAAAGGGCCCTTATCCAACCAGGAAAACAGCCAGAGGAAGCCCATACTCCTACTACAGGCTAAAAGTGCCTTTGCATGGTCCTGGATCTAAAAGAAACACACCAGGGGTTCTGGAAGTCATGCTCAGAAATGTGGCAAATGCCTGAAGGCACTGTCGTTGTAGACAGCCCCTCTCACAACTCCTCGAGCCACCCGCTTCTTGCCGCAGCTGAGGACAGGTGACAAAGGTGCTAGGTGACAAAGATACTTGGTTTGACCCTTATGGATACTGCTGATCCATTTGCTTCATATAGAATTTATTTTTTTATAATGCTGATTATATATGTTTGCTATAAACATGGGTCACACAAAATGGCAGCAACATTGCTTCCCTTAAAGCCACCAGTTCCCAAAGTCCAATGAGCCACCCTAACTCTGCTACACGTAAACGCAGCAGAAAGTAAGGCCCCCAACCCCTCCCATTGATACTTAGGGCACAGTTACCACATTAGTCACCCTAACGATATTTCTCAGGCTGGAGCCACTCATGACTGAACTTATCCCCAGTAGATTGTGGACCAACAGCAACTCAGGGCTCCTCACTGACCCCAGCAACTGGCCATGGGCTGTGTGGCCCCGTGGCCATCGCTGGGAAGCTCTGAGAGGAGCCAGAGAGCATCACTAAAAGTCCATTGCTAAAGGAAGTCCTTTGGTGTGAGATAAACGTTTCCCCTCTTCCCTCTCCCTTATCACCTGACAAGTTAAAACAGCTCTGAATTTTAAATAAATAAATAAAATTTTGCTGCCCCCCCTCCCCCTGGGCTGCTTTGCTGCCAGGCAACAAGGTGCAACCATGAGGGGCACAGAGGTTTCCATGGGTAAACACGGAGCAGCCGGGCTGAGGGGACTGTGAGTCAAAGACTGGGCACTGGGTGGGGGGAGATCCATGAGGTAAAATATGGTTGGAGAGGTAACAAGGAGTGGGAGGAAGTCCAGTGCAAGGCCTGCACAGATTTGCCATGAGTTGGCCTGGCCATGAGGCAAGTGCTGAGGGGCCATGGTGGGCAGGACACAACGCATCGTCCCACCATGGCGTGAGGGGCCATGGAGGTGGCACGGCTGTCCCTTGGTCACCCAGAGAGGGAAGACAGTGTTGGCCACAAAGGGGTTGCTGACATTGTCTTTGCTCACTCTGCCTCCGGTTTACTTGTCCGCAATAAACAGTTCAATGGGACTTACTGCTACAGCTGTATTTTTAACTTGGTCCGCTTGAAATTTGTTATTACCACCACTGGTTTTGAAGGTGTTCTGCTTAACAATATGTGCACAGAGAGAGATACACTGGGGATGAGATAAGGTTGACAGGGGAGGGGCACAGGCTTGTTTATGGACCCAGAGTTAACTTCTGTACGTGGAATACTTGTTAAGTTTTCCCCTCTGCCAGGCCTAGGGGAAAATGAACGAAACTGTAAGTTTCTATTCATCTATTAGCAAGGCTGTTTCTGCTGAGAAATGTTATTCATGTTCTTGGATATTTCTGTTCACAGAACCACGTGACTTTTGAAGAATCATCTAAAGACGGTCAATGGAGCGTCATGGTTTTTACAAGGTATGATTTCACATCTTTTAAAGTAAGGTAGAAGGGTGGGGAGAAATGCAGCAATAGATAAACACATTACCTGTATAAAAATAATATATTCTTGTTTATAGTCAGTGTTCTGAAGACAAGGATAGCCTTTGGGATTGTTTTTAATTGAAATAAAATGTGTTTGGGCATGCCAGACTTTTATAGTCCATAATGAGTTTATTGCATATAATAATTATGGGTTCAGTAATTAAAACTTAAAAATTACTGCTATTTTATTTAATATAAACGATAAATCAAAGATTTCATTTGACTTTTTATAAGTTAAAAACTAGGATGTGTCAGAAACATCAATCTTAGATTTCACATTATGGTAATTGTATGTTAGAATTCAAGTACAGGAGTTGCATGTGCATAAAAGTCTTTGACAAGTCAAAAACATTGGCTAAGAGCAGAATTTCATTTAAATTGGTATTTTATCTTTTTAATTCATTTACAATAATAGCTATAGAAGATTTTTTTTTCTTTCTAGAGCCACTTTTCTGAACGAGAGGGGATGGCAGTTTCTGCAGTTGCTTTACAGGATCATATAATACACAGTCATCAGCTCCAGGATCTTTCATTAGCAGATCCTTTTAAGTCAAGGAATATCAGGAACATTTACAAACCTGTGAACAAACAGATGGCCAAAGCAGTAATAGATACTGGACTACGAAAAAAGAGCACTCACCACAAAAATAAAGAAGATGCAGAAAGGGAGTATGTGCTTGATCCCAATCCTCCCCGTCTAACGTTAGGTAAACCTAATATATTATATATAATATATTGTATTCAGTTTCATGAATTCTTTCATTTTATTTAAAATAAACTAAAATGAGGAAGCTAAACTTTCCATTCAATAAAATTATTCAGTGCTAGACAGTATAAAGTCTTACTTTTCAGGTATGTCATAGCCAGCTATTTAGGCCATTGTGTAAACAGGTCATTTAAACAATGAAATTGTCATCGGTGTCTTGAATGCATCTTCATATCTGAAATGTATTAAAACCTATTAAAATCTAAAATGCAATGAAGGTGCATTATGACAGCTAGTTCATCTTGAGGAAGAAAAATTCTAGTCTCTTACACATTTTTAAAAAATTTTCTATATTGACTATGATAACTTTCATTACCTTATATTCTCAAATAAATCATCAGTTAAGTGGATATTGTATTTATTTGGGATAATGTATTACTAATAAGATAATTTTTATGTCTATTTGAAATTGTTTCTTTTATTCCTTATTCAGTAAAAAGACATTTACTACTGCTGTGTTAAATATATTCTGTGTTAATGTATACCCACCTTTACTCAAAGTTAAAAAGGTTTGTTTTTACAATGGTCCTGGGGCTAAACCCAGGAAGAATTAACACCTGTAGTTAAATACCTTTTTCAAATTTGGAAGCAAACATGCAGCAAGATAAAAGTCACAGATGTGAGGGCTTGGAATGATGCCTGGTGAGAAAACTCACTTTTAAATAGTATTATAATAATACAGTTGTAGAGCAGTGACAGATAATATTGCTTAAAAAAAAAAAAAAAAAAAAAAAAAACATAGCCATGGAGCATCTTAGCAGACCAGGAATCCAGATGTGCTTCACAGTGGTCAGTTTCCATTTTCTCTTGTCCTTTTCTAAAGGTTTCTACAGTATTCTTACCATGAACATCTTGTCTCCATCCTTTTTGCCGCCTTGATTACACTTGTCTGAAAGAATCTTCCAGCTCAACAGTTTATACTTCTAAGCATAATAAACTTTCATCATCATTAATAATTGTTTTATTTATTCTGTTTCATAAAAATGCCCTCAGGCCTCTCTGAAGATCATGTTGCCTTTGCTGTAGTAACTGTCACAGTAGTCCCAGCTCTAAAGAGAACCATGTAAATCAATGAGGCTCCATACAAGCACAGGCATCTGCCTTTTGGAATCAGCTGAAGGTTAAGAGGGTAACTTAAGATAATACACAACAAGCGAGTGTAACAAGTGATAGGACAAAGGTAGTAAGACTAGATTATTATTAGTATGTTTGCTTGGTTATACTTCTAAAGATGAGAGGGTTTTTTCTTTGGTTCCGTTTGAAGAGGAATTTGAAAGAGAAGAGAATGGGGGGGGGAGGGAGAAGAAAAGCAGAGAAGTACTGGGGTTAAGGCAAATATAAATAATGAGTGATTATGGAAGCTAAAGGTTGTGAAAAAATGCAGCCCAAGTGTGAGCATGTTCTCTGCAATTATAAGAAAGACGAAGTATTTTCTCTTTAAATCGCAGCATTGACTGAGAGGTCCCATATGAATGTTTGTGCAAGTGATTCAAAGAATGTGCTGAAAGGTTTTAAGAAGTCATTGCAATTGTTTCTGTGTTTTGCTTATTAGTATTTTCACCTATAATCTCTCATGAATTTACAATGCTTATATTAAGCTTTCTCTTTTTTAAGAATTGTTCATTTTAAACCTTACAGTTGTGAAACAACAAACGTATTCAACATAGTTGAATACAGTTTTCTCTTCTCAAGTTTGTGGGTCTCAAACAGGCTTCTATCATTAATTTTTTTCTCAACAGGGGCTTGAGTCCTAAAAGCTAATCATAATGGTTTGGAGGTTACTGTATATAATCACTTTGCTAATGTTCATTTGAACGTAAATAACTCAGATGTAAAATGGGTGTGTCAGTAGATAGGTTGAGCTTGTAAATGACGCATAAGGCTGAAAACTCTTGGATGTCTTGAGCTGTGATAAAGGTAGGCTTTCATTACTTATATTTATTCTAAGTGGTGTTTCAAGAATATCTTCACAGAGCCATTTGCATCAACCGCATATCACTTCTTGTGTGTCCTGCTGCCAGTTTTCCTTCATCAACTACGTTGTATAAAAGCTTTCCTTCTAAGCACCTGTATAACCTGTCCCTCACAAATATCCCATCTGGTTTATATTATTTAGAAGTTAGGTTTTGCCTCCAATCTCTTCCTATTTGGCAGCTTTAATCATCCACTTGTGAAAGTTTTTAATAAGCTTTTTTTTTTACCCCGGGCGTATACAAACGGCTTTCCACAAAGCCATCTCATTGTCTTCCCTAAAACAGTCTCTGACCACAGTGCTTGGAAGAAAATCAAGGGTAGGCATTTTTTGTGTTGTGATACTGTCTTTCATGCTGTGACTGGTTTGCTATGTTGTTCGCTCCTTGTATATCCAGTTTTTGTCATCATAAAAACTGGCACTGTGTATATTGGACTATCAAAGTGGGATCCTGTTTCCTTATTTATTCACTGATACTCTAAGGTATTACTGTCAGATGAAGTTTGATATATGTTTTTACTAGAACTTTTATCATGTATTTTATAATCTGATTCCTCTTTTGTGGCAGAAACACACTGATCTGAGCACCATGTGCTCCTCAAGGACTGGATGGTCTGTGCAGCATGTACTCTTCAAGAGGGAAAGCACCTGGTTAGAACTTTTTTCGCCACTCAGATGCCACTTTCAGCAATTCATGCATAAGCTTTAAGTCAAATACATATTCCGACCATAGATGAACATAGCATCTAAAGTTTGTAGGATCTTTCATAGCTCTCTTCAAGCTCACATTATTTTTCACCACCAGTATCACCAGATGAGTGCGTTTTATTGCATCAGAATTGAAAGACAATGATATGTATTGTTAAAATATATTTTACGTTTGGAAAATACAGTGCTGCATATATGTACAGTGCTGCTTGAGGCTGAGTGGTTTGAATTGTAGCCCTTAGCCTGCAGACAGAGCTGTGAGCTCCCCTCCTCACGTGTGGAGGTGCTGCCATCGTGTTTGGGTATCAAGTTGTCTGGGAACAGAAAGTGTTTCTAAGCTAAGACATTTCATATATGACCACCAATGTAATTTATGGTATTGCTTCAAATTTTCATTTGATACTTAGGTTTATATACATTGCAAAACCGCTGGTTGACATTTGGCTTGATACCTTTACAAGAGCGACAGAAGTAACAAGGTGGTGTGCCCGTGAACCAAACCTTAGGTGCAGAAAGGAATTTCCAAGTAGTTCCAAAGTACGCTGACACTCCTTGAAATCTCAAAGCCAGCCAGTAGTTCTAAGATATTAAATCAAATTTGTTGTGTATGTTTGAAGCTATAAAGAAGGTCTATGCAAAGATTTTGGTAGGATCCATTCTCTAGTATGAATGAAAATGTTGACCCTTCCCATTTACAACTAAAGCTCCCAGGTAGGCATGATCAGCTTGCATTCTGATTATTCCTCTTCCTTCCTTCCATGTTCCTCTTCCTTTCTGGTTTTAGCAAATGCCATTGATGCCCTGTCATGGATTTGTGTTTTGCCTTATTACACATACCTAGGGCATTCCTCTACTGACTGTAATCAGTTCACACAAACTGCTTACTCTGGTCTCAAAAGATGACAAAGGTCTATTCTTTGCTGTACCAAATAGCATATTTGGTATACTGCTGGAATACTGATCCTGGCTCTTACCTGCCATTTGTTGGGTTGAAAATATTGAAAGTATTTTCATTAATTCCTCCTTTGAGAAGGTGGAGATTTGTTGTGGATGTTCAGGAAAGCACCTCACAGTTACTGTTTGAAATTGACTAGATCAGCTGTTAGAAGTCACTGTCACTGGTGACCTGCGACAAAAGTCACTGTCATTGGTGTCCAGTAACCATCTCTTTTCTTTTATTGAGCTCCTTCTCTTGCATCCATCACAGTCATACCACACTTCAGCATTTTTCACCACCATTTTTTATTATACTGTTTGATCCATGTTTCATTTTATTTCAAGAATACCAAAATGTAATGTTAAAGAAACCTTTAGAAATGAATTCCCAATTTTGTTTATACTTACATTTTGAAATTATGTTATTGTGCTTTGTTACATTGTCTAGTTAATTATCCCCATCTTAATAGCTGTGAACAGCTATCAAATTCATATTACTTAGCAAATAAGTTTACATTTTTAAAATTCCTATATAAATCCTGTAATTTAAAGAAGTTCCAAAATTAGAAAATAGCTAGCTAATAGTAGGAGGTATGTTGCCTGCCAGTAGTTTGTTTGATGATAAGTTTATTTGAAGTATTTGTATAAGTATTTTTAAATAAATGCATTATCAATGAATTTCATATGCAGAAAAGCCATTGTCTGCATCTGACAGTGGGCATTATCCAGTGATTTGTTCTTATTGCTGTCTGCAGCTCAGAAATTAGGACTAGTTGAGCCCCCTTCCTTGCCACTAACTCCTGAAGAATGGGCAAAAATAAAGCAGAGATCCATACAGCATGGGGATTCCATACAGCCTTGTGCAATATGCAGGGAAGAGTTTGCACTTCAGCCTCAGGTACATTATCTGTGCACTACACAATTTAATTAAGATTTTCCAGAGTTACGGCTAAGACTCATTAGGTGGAGGAGGAAAGGAAGGAAATTAAAAGGTCAACCTTAAGACACCATTTAGTATTTAATAGCTGGACCTAGCTATTATCAGCCTACTCTGAAAGTATTTTGGAAATGAGATGTTAGAGAAAGGTTGGTAGTGTTTGATCACTGATGAGGTTATGATAGTAGAGGAGAAGGCAGTCAGCAATTTTTGTCTGCTCTTGCAAAGCAAATATAGGCTATTTTTTGCTCCATTTTAACTCCTGTTGTATCTGATCTTATCCTTTGCTCATCAGAATGGTAAATATTCACTAATTAAACAGTTTCAGATATGTTTTGTTTTCTCACAAGTTTTATTACTTTGTAGTTTAATTCAATAGTTATTTTTGTGTGGAAAATGGAAGTAGGTGTGCTCTTAATGCCATTCCATCATTTACTTCAGTTATCTGAATGAACGCTTGCATTTTACCTTGGTGGCCATGTGTGTAGCATCATGCTTTATTAGATTCTCTCATGTATCATCTTGAAAATGTTAAGCAAAAGGGACAGGTGACTGATTGAAGAGGAGTGCAGCTCCAGAGAGGTGATGATGGTAATTAGAAGAATTACCTGAACTGCTTGCAAGTTTCTTTCCACAGTGTGTTTCAGGGTGTTTCTTTTCTGCCTTTTCCCCCTTTTTAATTTGTTTTCCTTCAAGATTTTTACAGCCAAGCCTGTGATGTGAATCAAGGTCTTTAATAACCTTAAATGGAGGGGGTTTGCTTCCTTTTACTTTAACTTTAACTGGAGGTGTACAATTGTCCAAAGACAGGTGGGATGGATCTGGCAAAAGACCATTCTGCCAATTTCTGGCTACCTAGAAGTCTAAAGCTTGACAAGAGAGAGCAAAAGACAGCACTCATTAAGAAGGTTACTTTAGATTTGGCACAAAAAGGGAAATGCCTCTGGAATTCTTTTTGTCCTCAGTGTTTCGTTAGCTTTCATCCCTCAAGGGAAAAAAGCCACTGTATCTGAAAGCTTTTCCTTCAGCTGGCTGCTAGCCATTAATCCTTTTGTGTTTGCGAGCTCAATAGTGCACACTACTTGTTCTGGTTTTCACTCCTTTCCCAGTTTTTCCTTCCCCTAAGAGCCAACTGCCTTTTTTGTCCAACTCTGTATCTTTTGTCAGGATGGAGATCATCAGCATTTGGTGGGAATTTAGGTCAGATAAAGGTGAAGTTTTCTTGTAGCCTGTGAACATGCTTTCTCTCTTTTTTTTTCTTTTTTTTTTTTGTACATGTGAAATGCTGCATTTGATGTATATCACTTCTTGAAATTTAACGTCTTTGTGGGGGAAAGGGAAAAAAATAATCAGCTTTCATTTTAAGTACTTGTTTCATAATCTTTTGCTCAAGTCAATGGCAGTTGGCATTTCTTACTTTCTGCCACTCCATGTGTTGTCAATGCAAAAATTCACAAATTGGTTTAAGCTGTTATCTATTAAGTAATTTGTATAGAAGACTAATTTTATTTTCACCAGATGCAATAATCACAGAAAGAAAGTGATAACCTTTCAGGCAGTCAGAATTTTTGTGAATGTTTTTTACTTTTCAGCATTTATAATGGCTTTAAGTCGGGTTTGTGTTTTTGTTCCTTTGTAAAATAGGTGCTGCTTTCATGTTCCCATGTATTCCATAAAGTGAGTATTCATTTGTTTAACAGTTCAAACATATATAATACATGTTTTAAATTACTTAAGTGAATATCTTAATGAATTAAATATAATCTTGAGAAATAATTTTGTTTCTGGATTATTACAGTAAGAAATTACATTTTATGCTATTTTATGATGAGGCCCTTCACTCCATTTATTATCTATTCAAAGCTGTATAGGAAATCATAGTTTGTAACTGAGTTATACATTTGTATACAAAACAGGAGTAGCTTAATTAAAAAAAAAAAAATTGTAGGAATATATTTACATTTCCAAATTTCTCTAATATTTTAATTATAAAAATAAACATTTTGTACAGTTTTCATAGATTGTCGCATGAAGCTTTTACATTCTGTAATCTGACCTGTTTCACCTGTTTCAATGATATCAAATATATTGTAATTAATTGCATTGTTTTTTTTCAGGCATGCCTGAAAGCCTTTGAAAAATTTACAGGTAAAAAGTCTTGTCCTATGTGTAGGAAAAAACAGTACCAGACCAGAGTAATACATGATGGCGCCCGCTTGTATAAAATAAAGTGTGCTATTAGGTAAGCCTTACTTATGCTAGAGGCATCATCACTGGACGAAACTTATTTCCAAATAATGTTCCAAATTTGTTAAAACTTTAATAAGAAACTAGACAGAATGAATGCACTACAAAAGTTAATGTTTGGGGGAAACAATGTAAAATGACTGTTTCATGTAAATAGCAAAATTATATAAATTTAATTTTCCTCTTCTTGAACAACCCTTTTTCTTACAGAATTCAAGCCTCCTGGAGGGGATATATTGTTAGAAAATGGTATAAAAACTTGAGAAAAACAGTGCCTCCTAAAGACAGCAAACTAAGAAAACAGTTCTTTGAGGAAAAGGTATGTTGGACTTGCTTCTGTGGTCCATTTCTTTGATGTGATTCAGCTCCCTTACATCAGAACTCTTGAGTATCTGCTCTCTACCTTTTCATTTATTCCTTGTCGCTCATGCCAAGCAAGCAGCATTGGAAGCACTGTGTTGTTCTGTTAGTCTCCTCATACCACCCTCTTTTCAAGGTAAAAATCAGAGAAAATAATTCAAGGCCTGCCTTTTGCCTTGGCCAACATCAACAAGGGTTTTTATGAGTCTCTATTTCCCTTCCCTTTCTGATAAGCCACAGTAATCTGTTTCCCATGAGGGGGTATTTATGGTTGTGGAGTCTTTTCTGTGCGTCAGTATAGTAAGGGGAAAAACAAAAAAAATGCATAAACAATCATATCCTCTCTACACTCCCAGCATTTCTTCACTCAGCAGACCTGGATAGTTCCATCATGTAGATTCACTCTTCTCTAACTTCTGCTCAAATGCAAGTCGGACTATAATAAATTGGGGTCCTGACCCCATACAAATTAGGCCGTATCAGGTACAAGGATTTTGCAGTGACCCTGCATCCCTTTAAGCATGCAGCTGCAATCCTCAAGTTCTTTGCCAACTTCCCGCCTTCCCCCAGTTTAATAACAGCCAGTCCAACTCAACTTTTCAGTACATAAACCACTCTGGTGTGCGATTACCAACCCATCCCTCAAGCAGCAAGATATGCCATTTTCCAGTCCAGGTTATCAAACGGCCTGATCAATCAAGACATGAATTTCAGAATAGCTAGTGCTTACAACAAGGAAAAAACTCTTACCCGCATTGCAAGCTAAATCAGTGGTAGGTTTAAACCAATACTTGAATCATTCTGTTTTATTTTTTGTTGATGGTTGGTTGGTTGTTTTTTAATCACTACTGTATTCAAATAGAAGACTGCTTATAGAGGAAGGCTTCTTACTGTCTATCCTTTCATTGTTTGCCGCACTTATTTGGTTGTATACTGCTAGAGCACAGCTTTGGAGGCAGGGACCCTCTCTGGCTGTATTATGTATGATATGTATGTATGATGGGTACCCTACAGATCATCTTGCAGACTGTTACAACAAAACTGATAGCACTGTTCTGCTTCTGTGGTGCCGGTGGCTATGGGAGACGAAATACTGCTCTCAGCCTGGCTATGGAGACAGTTCAATGGTTGTTGTGCTGCCTTGTAGTCAATGCAAAGTCCTTTGCTAATGGAAAACAAAAATGGGGGTAACTGAAGAAAGCTAACATTACATGTAGAAGTACTTAAATGTTTAAGTTTAGAAGAAGTGAATACTTTGGTGGCTTGTGACTGTCCTCAAGTAGCATGATGAGAACAGAAAACAGAAACAGATTTTCCTGCATGGAGGACCGGGGAATGCCTCTTTCCCAACAAGGTTATCAACCTTCTGTGGGATCAAGACACCATGCTTAATTACACACAACATCTCAGTAATGGGAAGCTGAAGAAAGCTTCTAAACGTGCTGAAATAGCTGGCTGCTATTTGTTATAATTTTTTCCTCACCAGAACTTCAGATGTCTGCAGTAGTTGTCTATTAAGCTACCTACAATGGGCTAGCTTTTAGAGACCTTATGTTAGATAACAGTTTTAGGAAGAAACAAATGGATAAAACTGCTCACATTTTATCAGATGATAGTAAACCATGGGATAATCTTCCTTTAAGATTTTGTCCATGTATAGTTTTCAGCATTAAGAAATAATTCTCATACATAACACTTCAGGTTTTTGCAGAGAACAAAATGGGAACTAATTCTTCACCTTCTAATAAGAATAAACTTATAAAGTCTTCTTATATGGATTAGCCAGGTTTAAATTAATTCAGTACCAATTACAATTAAAGGATATATATCCATTTTTCTTAGTGGCTCTCAAGTGGGAATTGTAGATGAGTTTTCCTACTGTTAGCTCTTATACTTTTAAGTGTTGGTTGATGAAAACACTAAAGAAATTTTTCACAAGGAGCTATCCATTTCCAGAAGCTAAAAAGCTTTTCTAAAATAAATTTTGCCTCTCAAGCTTGTGCTGTGCTTTTAAAATGTCACTTCCTAAATGTTAGCATAATCAAACAGCATAACAACTGGAAAAAAATCAAAATTTTAATAACCCTTCCTCTTCTGGAAGGATGGCAAAGGTTAAATGTCAAGTTTCATACTCTTAAATAAATATCACAAAATAAAAAATGATGTCTGAAATATTAGTTCTAGAAGGACATATATTACTTGTTTCAGGGTCATACAGTAGCCCTTATTACAGCTATGATTGGATTTTTTAATAATCTAGATCAAAGGAGATAAGAAAGGCCAGAATCCAAACAATGCTGCTTCTTTAGCACTGGTATATACAGAAAGTAGGGTGTTGCTTCAGCATGTTAGGTAGTGAATTTCTTTGATCCTTTCTATAAATGTCACTTGTGTATGTCATTTAATTGTGGTATAGCCTTTTATTGATGCAATGAAATCTTTTCAAATGCATTGCATTATCTCCAGCTTTGCTAAATATGTTGACCATTGTTTAGGAAGCAAGGTAAGTCACTGTGAAATGGTGTAGCTGGCTTTAGTTTCTTCCTCCCCCTCCACGTGATTTCTCCCAACGATTTTAATTTAAATCTCACCAAACAGTATAATGGTCCTGGAATTTGTTTAGTCGTTTGACTTCCTTTATCACATGGAGATGGTAAACATTCTGTTGCTAACTTGAAGTGGCTCCAAGCAGCAAAACGAGGAGGATATTAAACCAGTAAAAGCTTATCAACTGATTCATTGATATGCTGTAAATTCCAGCCTTTTCATTTTACTTTTGAGGGTTGCCATAAGTCAACACATTAGTAAGCAATTTGCAGACATTGGATCACTTAAAAAGGCTTCCCTGTGGACAAAGTTCACATCGGTGCTTTGTTTTGTCATTTTATTTTATCATAGTCTTGTGCTTCTGTACAGATGACTGATGTAGTTCTGCATATCCAACAGAGTATTTTAAATATTCTGTTTATGCCATGCTATTCAAGTTTTAAGAAGTCACAGATAAAATACACTAGCATAGCATTTTCAGAAATAAATTCTATTAGTTTCAGATCTGGGAAAAAAAATGTATTCCACGTTATGCAGTAGGACACAGCAAGATTGAATATTTAAATGTTAGAACACAATATAACACTAACAACTCATACAAAATGCTTATTCCTTTCTGTACATTTTGACAGTACTGTTTTGCTAGTTAACATAAAATTGAGTTATATTTGTTTCATTTTTTTCCTTCCCAAACCTGGACTCTATTTGCTGATTGATGAATATGGGTTGGGTCAGGTCATGCCGCAGAAAATACAGGAGTAGCTCAAAGCAGATAGTATCTTAGCAGCAGGGGAACTTAATAGAACGCTGTCTTAGGCAGGAATTTTCCTCTATTTTTACAGTTTCTGTGCAAGGAAGCTCATGAGGGGGACTCTCAGGATCATTTAGTGAAATGGGCTAGAGAAACACAAGTGCAAGCTCAGAAGTGGAGGGCTTCTCCCTGCTGAGGGAAAAGGGAACAAACAGTGCAGGCACAGAAAGAAAGCGGACACTACTTTAATGCAATCCCAGCCACTTTCCCTGCCTCCTGCTTTCTGCTCCCATTGTCGGTTAATTTTCCTCAGCGGTCTGTCGAGTAATACTGTAGTTCACAAAGACAGACCGAGTCCTGGAGCTGACCACATGCTGTTTGTGTCGCTCTCAGATTCACAGAAATAGACACTGGACCAGGGCCAAGTCAAAATGTGGTCGTTTTCCCTCAAATTTTGGGTCCTGAGAGGCTCTCAGTGAAAGATAAAGCATCTTCATGGTTGCTCTAGCTTCCCACTGCCCTAGCTTTCTTGTGAAAACAATTCAGGTCTGTTCAAGTTTGATACTGACATAAATGAAGACTGAGCATAAATCAGGACCAAAGCAGATCCAGTTTTAGAAATTAGGTAACAACAGTTCAGGTTAAGCAGTGACATTCCTAGTAGTTTTATTAAATATATAATCACCTCAAGCCATCAAAGACCAACTCTGATTAAGCGTAGTGCATTGGTATTTCACGTCTCAGTCATTACTTGGGATTGTTTGGAAACCACGTAGTGTAAATATTGAAGGAGGCCTGTGGTGGGATTTTTGTTTGTTTATTTTTTGTTTTACACATACCACTAAAGGTCAGTGTGTGTGTTTGCATGGAACAGAATTACTTTTTTCTTTCTTGTCGGTGAGCAATCATGAAGGAAGCACAAGATTACCCATCTGCTCTTTGCTAGATATAGAATTTCTCCCACAAAATTCATAAAGTACTGCTTCGTTTCATATCACGCTGTGACTAACATGCATACACCACGCAGGGGGGCTCAGAGGGATTTCATTTTTATTTAGATACACTAAGTTCACACATCAGCATCATGTAACACTGTAGCTAAGCCCAATTGGCACTGACAGGTGGATACATCCTTTTTCAATATGCTGTTGTGCTAGAGATCATTTGCAAATACAGCAAGTCATAATAGATCTCATCTATCACTGAATTAAACTGTAAAATTAAAAAAATAAATAAATACACTGCATCAAAGCTAACAGCAAGAACCGAATGACTCTTCTTGTGTGATGGTTTTCATGATTTCTCTTATCTGGCCACTTCTAATATTTGTCTCCGTGAAGTCTCTATTGAGGGAAAAAAAAAAAAAAAAAAGAGGTTTCACTGGAACACATTCTCATACTTGTGCATTATGTGATGATATTAAAAAACTGCTATTATGGTTTTTTTCATGTTCAAGAAAGAAACGAGAGTTTCAGAGTTTGAATAATAACTTAGAGCATTAAGTGAGCTTTTCAGATAGGCTTTTGGTTGGCTGGTTTCTATGCTGATTTTTTTTTTTCTTTTTTGTTGGTTCTTTAGGTCTGGGGGAGTGTAGTGCAGGCAGAGGAGGGATTTGGCCTCTTGTGTCCCTCAGATCTAGAAAACTTTGCCTTGAATATTCTGATGTATGCTATGAAAGGTCACCTTTAGCAGTTGTAAGGGAGTATGTCCTAGTATAAAAAGCTGCCAAAGGAGTAAAATGAAGCAATAATAAAGTGTTCAGGCACCATTGAGGTGTCTGACCTTGACAACTCCTACTACCTCACCCCTCGCTTCCCACCCCTTCCTCCCTGAAAAGATGGCTCACTGTTTTCCTATTGAGTTTTCACTCAAAGGAAATGTATGGAGAGGAAGGGTCACATTCCAACACCTGTAACATGACCAGGCAGTGCTTCACAAAACTGCTTTAACTATTTACAGGCAGAGTCTCCACAGCCAAGCCTAAAGCTTCTGTGACTCCCTACAGAACTTCCAGATAGTGTGGTAGCAACAAGAGAAATTTCTATACAATCTTTCACTACAACACAGCTGTACTATCTCTGCTCCACCCAATGGGTTAAGAATGCTACATCTGTCTTCAGAAAGTTCATTCAAAACTGTTTTTTTCCCAAAGTATAATAGTCCATCAGTAGTGGCTGGGGACTTGATGTTCCTAACCTTTAAATCTGCAGTGGACACCAGCTAAAATTGCAACAAGATTCCTGAGATCGTGCAGCTAATCAGGCCCCCTTGTCCAAGAGCTGATAATTCCACATACAAACTGTTCATAAGCAACTCCAGGTCTAACAGGAGTCACTTTTCCTTTCAGGTTCAACAGATCAGCAGTCGCCTGTTGAGTTCTTATGACATAAACCTAGATGAATTTTTTGCTGAGATAGATTCCACTATAGCTGCAAGTCGAGATGTGTTTCAGCAGGTGGAAGAAAAAGAAATATTTGTAAGTGAAAATGACTGGGAGAAGATCCAGATGCAGGTTGGTTGGCTTTTTTGTTTTTAAACAAACAAACAAGCAAGTTCTGCAATCATAATGTTTTTGCTCTTTTAAGGCACAGAGATCTTCAGCACCACTGAGATTTTCTTGATTTTTTTTTGTTATAGTTTTGTGAGTTTTTAATATCTGTTCCAAATCAGGGATCTTTAAAAAAAAAGTTTACAGTTCAGAGATTTACTCATACTTCAGCAGCATCTCTATTTATTCCATTAAATAGCCCAAAGTGACTGTAGACAAAATTGAGTGAAAATATTCTTAGAATGTTCTAATTTTGACTAGTGTATTTTGATAAACCTAATTAGCAATCTTGTTATATTTATATTCTAGTACTTTATCGCTCTACAGGATTTTTTGTTTTTATTTTGTTTACTTAGGCATTGCGGCAGGAGATAGTTGACTGTCCTATCTGTATCATGCCACTCAGTTCGACTTCTCAACTGGCCAGCATCCTTTCTGGTAACAGCAATCAGTTTTCACGACAGGCTGTTCTGCTTTCTTGTTCACACCTGTTTCATCATACCTGTCTTCAAGCATTTGAAGAGTTTTCCTTGGGAGTACGGCACATTTGTCCTTTATGTCGCTCATATTACCAAAAGAAGGTCCTCGAATGTTGATCCATATAGCTCAATGAACGTCCTCGTAAAAATAGGTGACAACACATGTACTTCTAACCCTGGAGCCTTTTCAGATCCAGATCTTTCAAGAACAAACAGTTTTTGTATGTACTATGGTATTCACTTTGCATTTACAGAAATAAAAGTTAGAAGGGTGCTGTTGCTTCACTTTTATATTGAGTTTCACCTTTGGTCTCGGCATTTTTCTCTCCTCCCTCCCTCTGTCACTCCCACCTTTCCCAGAGATGATGCATAGTTGATTTCAGCATTGTGTTCCTTCAGCAAAAGACCACTGTTAGCCCTTACCTGTGTGTTTTTCTGCCTGCTATTTTGTAGCACTTGTACTGTATTCTGTTTGTGTGTTCTACAGATCAGCTGCTTAATAATTCAGCTGAAAGGCAGCCAGAAAGCTGTCTATAGGGCTTTCAGAGACTGTTATTGTTAAGAATTTGTGGAGAATGTGTGATGCTGTAAAGGACTAGCAATTGATAACCCTATCTTGAAACCAGGGAGGAAAAAAGAAATCCTGAGGATTTGCACAGTTTCTCTTCCTAAAAAAAAAAAAAAAAAAAAAAAAACATGCTACTTAAAAAGAACTAGTAGTTGATATGGGATTTACCAAGAATAAAAAAAGCCAATTCAGTTAATTTGAGCAGCAGAATACAGTCCCACAGATGTAGTGGAAACCATGAAATGTCACATTTTAACTTTAAAACTTCAGAAACTCTCCTACATTATACCTCCGTGAGCAGATTTTGAATTACCAGTATCAGAAGAAATAAAGTTGGTCTAAAAGTGGGATATAATTGAAAAATCCAAGAGCAAATACTCTTACATGTATATAGCAATAACCCTGTCTATAGTATCAAAGAATGTTCAGGGTTGGAAGGGACCTTAAAGATGATCCAGTGCCAACCCTTGCCATGGGCAGGGCCCCCTCCCAGCAGCCCAGGCTGCCCCCAGCCCCATCCAGCCTGGCCTTGGGCACTGCCAGGGATGGGGCAGCCACAGCTCCTCTGGGCAGCCTGGGACAGGCCTCACCACCCTCTGAGTGAAGAATTTCTTCCTAATACCTAATCCAAATCTCCCCTCTTTCAGTTTAAAGCCATTCCCCCTTGTCCTATCACTATTCTCCTGACAGAGTCCTTCCCCGGCTTTCCTGTAGCAGCCTTCCAGTACCTAAAGGAAGGCACAGCCTTCCAGGCTCTCCAGAGCCTTTTTACCTTCCAGGCTGAACAACCCAAGCTCTCTGAGCTTCTCTTCACAGGAGAGGTTCTCTTGCCCTCTCACGATCCTCATGGCCCTCCTCTGGACTCACCCCAACAGCTCCCTGTCCTTCTGCTGGGGGCCCCAGAGCTGAGCGCAGGCTCCAGGTGGGGTCTCACAGGAGCAGAGCAGAGGGGGACAATCCTCTCCCTCGCCCTGCTGCCCACGCTGCTGTTGGTGTGGCCTAGGACACGGTTGGCTTTCTGGGCTGCAGGCACACATTGCTGGCTCATATCAAGCTTCTCAACCACTGCCACTCCCCTAAGGTCTTCTCCTCAGGGCTGCTCTCTACCCCTCACTACCCCAACCCAGGTGCAGGACCTTGCACTTGGCCTTGTTGACCCTCCTGAGGTTCACACAGGCCCACCTCTCAGGCTTACTTCTTACGCAGGCGAGAATAAAAATGGAAATGCAGCTTTTGAGCCTCAGAAGAGCTGATACAAGCCAAAAGAATTGTGTTATAATGGACATCTGAGAACCAATTTAAAGCTTAAAGCATAGCAAGGGCCATTCTCATTTGACATTTAGGAAACCTTGGACGATTAAACGCTGGAATATATTGCCTATAGACAACACAGAAGTCAAAAAAAACAAACAACAACAACAAAAAAAAACAGTCCCTAACAGGATTTGTTGATCCTGTGCATTGAAAGGATGTCTGCAGGTCCTGTCCAGTTGTATCGTGCTTGAACTTTTCTTAAAAATATAAAAAAAAAGACTGAAGTCTCTAGTGAAACAGTACAGAAAGTCTGAATCTGTTTTAGTTTCAAATAGTTTAAGAAACGTGATAAGGTTTTCAATATATAAAAATTGCACTTCAGTCAGACTGTTAAAGTATTGAAAATAACTTGTACATTATAAAATCAGGATATTCTACAAACAAAGCCCTCTTCCTTGAAGTAGTGTTAGAATTAATTGCACATCTGCATTAAGAACAGGGCTGCAATAACTCTGAGTGTACACAAATCTCCATCACATGCCATGCACGTAACTTTTAAGAAAAACTGAGAAACTCAGAAGTATATCAAATGGGGAGGGGAAGATGGGAATGCAACCATTCACACCAACTACTGACAGAATAGTTTAGAATAGCACATTTTCTTCATTGCTTCAAATAATAAAAGAAACAAAACCCCACTATGAATCACACTAACTTTATTGAAAACAGTAAAAAAAAAAAAATCTTCCTACAAAACAATGTAACATTACAAACAACGGAAAAAAAAAACTAAAACACTGCTTTTCACAAAAAAAAAAAAAAAAAAAGTCAACCTGACCAAGGCAGCGATTATTTTCATAAAGATTTTTTAACACGGCAAAAAATACACAACTGAGAACATTATAAAACATTTCTGGATGATTCTGGATGACCTAGAATATGCTAAGAAGAGTTTGGTGGTAGGGTTTGGATATTTATAAATAATATTGTTCTGATTGCATTAAAACCAAGAGTGCGAGTTTTTCAGCCATGTTTTGCCATGGTCCAATATACAACTGTGTGAAAGCAAACCTGCTGCTCAAGACTACAGAATCTACAAAGCCTTAAGCACAAACCAGACCAAGGAGGCACCACTAAATCCACTCAACATCACTCAGCTTCACACACAGTTAAGATGGTGGAATTCGTTTTCAAGATTTCATTTTTCAAAAAAATAAAATAAATCAGCAACACTACTCTTAAAAAAAAAAAAAATGGAAGTGTGTGATGGAAAATATCTGTTGTCATTGTTACAGTGCCATCAGTAGCAACACCAGCAGCACTAGTCCACAACAGTACCCCTGTCACCTGAGGCCACATGAAGGTGACACCGTGTGACAGTGTGGCCAGCAGCATCCTGAGATGTTCTCAGTCTCCTCAGTGGGGATTTTAGAAAGGCTTGTCATCATCAAGTGTTGTCTCTATGTAAGGAATGTTTTTTGGTGGTGGTGGTGTTAATTTTATTTTATTTTATTTAGGTAGTGCAGGGTTTGGTTTCTAACCCCACAAGGAAGTAAGGGAAATCTAGCCACATTTGTCTACATGTATGTCATACACGCTAAGATTTCAAACCCATGACCCAAACATATCTTAATTTTCTATCCACTTGTTTTAAAGCAACACCTTAAACACCTACCTTAAAAAAAAAAAATAATAATAATAATCTTTGTTTTGTTACCTAAAGCCAGGGAGGAGACAGTTATACCAATTTTGTGAAACAAAGCATTTCAGCCCAGGCTGGGAAAACTTACAGTCAGGGGGAAAACAGAAGTCATGGATCTATTAATTTTCTCCTTAAGCACTTAAATACATCCAATCTTTTCACCACACAGGTAGATCTATTCACCATCACACTGCTTTTCTGAACGATAATTTTACACGGAGAAGCTCTGAACCATGCTCATACGCACGAAATACACAAGGTACAGAAAAACACACGTGAAGAGTCTCACCTTGGTGCCACACAAGGTTTGACTTTGATCAAAAGGTGAAAGTTACAGACTGCTGCCACCAGAATGGTCTGCGATAAATAAAGCAAGGCAGCGGGGCACAGCACAAGCTGCACGGCACACTAAAGGCACACATGTGTGCCAAGACTGAAGCATTTCCACCTCACTTCAAAGTCAGACCTTACGTGAGCACTTGGTGATGTTTTTAGGGGACCCACGCTCCAATGACAGGATTGTTTTAATGGAATTCGGTGGCAGAAAACATGAGGTGCAAATGAGTGAGTAAATCCTAATTTTTCGTAACAGAACATTTCTAAATTACTGAATTTCTCTGCACAGACCATGTGGGAAAAGAAATACATTAAAATCAAAATAAGTGCCCTGAGTCTTCAACAGCTGATGTCTACACAGGCACTGAGCATGAGGCATGCAAAATAAGGTGCTGCTCATGAAACAAGTTTCATCTCTGCATTTCCAGTGGCATTCACTACACATCCTGGTTAATGGGTGGAGGGAAGCAAGTGCAAACGCTTGAGGTAAATATATGAGAAACATTTAGAAGCCATTTCACAGTATCCTGAGGTATTCATGTAGGTGCAAATGAAGAATCAGATACCTGAACCCTATGAGAACAGGGACTTCCTAATTTCAATGTTGATATGAGGTCTTAACGCAAATACAGTTTTTAAATGGCTTGGATTTAGATATGCTGGGGTTACCAACATTTACAGGGTATTTCTAATACTACCGACTTTGCCCGTTTGGAATCAGCTTCTGCATTATTTGAAACATTTAAAGTCACATATATAAAAACCTAAGAGCACTAAATGACAACAAAATCATTACTTCGAAAAATATGGAAATTGACACAACTAGCAAACATCATCAGCTTTTCTTTTACAACATGGAGCTATCTTCACAAACTCACAATATTCTGTAAAGTCAAGGGTAGTGTTACACTGCAAATCACAAAACAGATTTTCAGAAGAATTTATGAATGCTCTTCAGTGAAATACTGGCATATTTAGGCAATTAACTTGCATATACTAATAATACACATGCTGCTTATTTCTCTTTGCAAGAAGAGTTTGAGAAGCTTCAGTTGAGAAACAGAACCTACCATATAAATTTTCCACTGGCAAGTACTGTTACAGATCAGAGATCAGATCTGCTTAGTTTCTTCCCATTTTGTTATTCCACATTTTTTATACGTAAGAAGAGTATCTATTATTAATATCAATGCCACTGAGTAAGACTACAAATGACTTGAAAACATGGAAAATAAAAGCAAGCCAAGATGTTAAGGATTAACAATTAAGGCCAAATTTGGCAAAAAGTTTTATCAGCTCTTGAATTACATCAGCTTACAGATTTTAAATATATATTTTTATTTATTTATTTTTACTGAAGTGGAATTCTAAAGACCAACTACAAAAAGGATGGAAGGGAAAGCAGACTGTCTGCATAGGTGAGATACAGTTCCATGCCATTTCCTCCACCCAACTTCCCAAAACTGTTGTGCAGAGTAGGGATTCTGGAAGTCACACTCAGTGTTAATTTCCCATGAGACGTGATCTCCATCCAATGATTCTGACCAATATTGTCAAGCTTTAATCATTACACTGAAACGTGTAAGAGATTTGTCTTTCAACATGAGCTGAGGAGATGTTGTTCCCTGCAGAATCACACAGCACTCTTGGGACAGCACGGAACCATTCAAACAAATTGCCTGGACAGAAGGAGCACAATCAGAAAGTAATGGCTTCGTCCCAATGAAATGGAGCTGACATCAAAGAGCTGTAGTTCAAGAATGTGCATAGTGATCACCCAGAAACTAAGAATTTGCCATCATAAGTAACCCAATTCAGTGACTAGGACTGCGTGG